AGTCCATTGGTTTAGTGTTACTAACCTAAATGGCAACGAAACTAAATGTATCAGATTCACTTTACCTAATGTTAGGTTAGCTAAAGCCAGTGTTAAGGTGAGGGACGACGACGAGATAGAATTGGTTAATGAAACTGTGTTTCTGGGTAGAAAGTTAGACTCCAAACTACAATGGGGATTTCATATCAGGAAAGCCTCGAGCAAGCTCAGTTCTGCAGCCGAAGCCGTAAAAAAGATCAAACAATTAACAGACATTAAAACAGCGCGTCTAGTCTACTTCAGCTACTTCCACGGTGTTATGACATATGGCATACTACTGTGGGGTAACGCTGCCGACATTAAATGTATCTTTGTGTTGCAAAAAAGGGCGGTCCGGGCTATCTATGGTATGGGATCTCGGGAGTCATTAAGAGATAGCTTTAAAATTATCGGCATACTTACAGTGTACTCGCAGTATATTTAAGAAAATGTATTGTATGCCCATAAGAATAAAAGCAAGTTTAGCAAGAATAGTGATAGGCATAATTTAAACTTACGAAATAAGGATAACCTAGCTATCCCCAAATATAGGCTCCATAAAATATCTAATTCATTTTCGGGGAATTGTATTCGTATGTACCTACAATACATTACCAGTTGAGGTGTCAAATTTATCGATAAATAAATTTAAAAAAGTTATAAAACTTAGATTGTCTCAAAAGGCGTATTATTGTCTGATCGATTTGAATGACAAGACCGCCTGGGGTGATATGGATTGCTCCCTAGGTTAATAAACTCACAATGTATTAGTTTATACGACATATTTAAAAAAGTCGGACTGAGTTTCTTGGGTGTTCTTCTATTTTATGTTGCTTTTTTAAACACTGTAGAATCACGACAAACAGACAGACAAACAAAAAAAGCTTGACGAATCTAAATAATGTTTAAAATTTTAAAGATAATAAAGTATATTATATTTAATTTTACTTTAGAACTTGTTTAAGCAATTTTATAGCATGTACGATAAGAAAGCAATTTGTTTGTTACTGTTTAATTCGTCATCACTTATATCTATAGACAAGGTAATTTTGCTTTTATTTGCAAAATAGTTTTCCTTTAAAAGTTAAGTGTCGAACGCAAGATATCGCGCACACAATTTCACCTGTGTATTCCTGTGCTGTGTACTGAATCAATTTGTGGGAAAATAAAATAACCGTTTGTCAGACTTCCGCCGCGTTCATTCGTTATTGTCCTTATAAATACAGCGACATTTTACGCTTTCAGCGTTGTCTGCTTTTTCCCATTATAGTTTATAGTACACATTTCCTCCCATACTTTGATTTAATACCATAGAACTCGATCATCTTTGTATATTTGCTCTTATTAGTGAATGTATGTTTAGAATTTAGTTCAAGAGGTACTTTATATTCGACAAAGTCGAAGCATATGGGCGTATCTAGATTCAAATTAAACTTGTGCCGGCGCAGAGGTGCTCTCAACAAAGGCTGCTTGTCAGTAATTTGTCGCCTGTTAATTGGAGATGTGGATCTTAAATCTAAGCGTTCGGTTACTTGGGTTGTATGAGATAGGCTTCGGAAACGGGATGATGAAATAAAACAGGAATTTGTGTAAATTGAACGTGTAATACATTTATGTTATAAAGAGATAAAATTTCACATTTTTTTGTAAATATTAGACATTTTAATACAAACTCAGCACGGCAGCCGCGTACATTCAATACGCCAAAACATTTAGTTATCTATAATTCTTCTAATAATTATATTTAAATACTCATTTCATTAGTAACGAATATATTGTAACGTAATCTAAAATAATTCACAGATGAACCACGACTATTAGAAATATTTTTATTTTTTTTTAACACTGAATAAAATAAATATATTTTAATTTTTTTTTGTAAGTGCCTCAATGATTTATGATTCTGCTTTTGAATTTCAGCGTTAAATTTGTAAAGCATTTTGTGTTAAAAAAATAAACTTCTTTACTTTACAAGGAAATAAAACTTGTATCGACAACTCATCTTGTCATAAGAATGGGCTATTCCACCTTTTCATCCAGTAAACCCGCTGCTAATCTGTCCTTCTCTATTATAAAAAAAACTTTGCTTGCACAAAGTACGGTGATATTTTAACATCTTCCATTCTTTCGAATAACTCCTTAAAAAAAAAACAACATTTCGTCGTTCTCATACACAACGCACATGTTTTTGTAAATTTCAATCTCCTTGCCATGGCATGTATACCTGTTAAGTATGGTATTCTTAGAATGTTGGAATAATAGGTCGTCATCGTAATAAGATGCAGCCCAGAGTATAATAGGGTACTCTATGATTGTCTATTCCACTTTGCCATAAAAAGAATACATTCATTTATTTTGCGTACTGGCCTGCATATATGAAACATTCCAGAGATGACCTATCTAGCGCATAAAATCAATCAAGGGTCATTGTAGAAGATACATCTTTACGCCTTAATTAAGGATGTGCATTACAGTACAGTATATCGAATTTACATTTATATAAAATTTAGATATACAATACGCATAGTTCTGCGAATTTGTTTAAGTTTACTCTCGAATACATGATATCCATATTGTTATGAGCTGACAGCAATTTCAATGCATTCTAAAGGTATGTATAATTGACAACAACAATAGCACAGATTGCCGTAACCAGTTGGGATATTCGAAGGGCGTTCTGAGTTGGACTTATATGCGACGATACTTCTCGCATCGATTAAAGTAAATTGAATTAGGAAAGAGCTGTACAAAGTACGAAATTCTTTATAGTATTGAATTGTAAGTGAAAAGTCGAGCCGCCCTGAATATACCACCAATCGTTTATAACAAACTGTGGAGTTCACACCGATCACATCTATGAAGCGATTATAAATTGTTAGTTGACACCGACCTATCTATTAATTACATTATTATAACTAACACTTATCCTATAAAAGAGTGTATAGCAATAAGGAAGACATTGATAGCCTGCATGATTGTTTTCCATATAGAAAATATCTTAGTTTTATGCTCAGTGATCGTTTACGATTAATTTCACTAAATATTTAAGTTTTTCGTATAAAAACGTATCGTGGTACTAAAGAGCGATTCAAATTGAGAAGCGACCGCATATATTATTTCAGTTTTTCTGTTTAAAAGATTTTAAACGAAACATGTTTTCATATATTTTCTTAGAATGCCACATCTCATACTAAGAACAGTGTTTTTGTCAATTCGGGTCGCAACTTTAGTATCAAAACGTCTAAAAAATCACTAAATTAAAGTAAGCTAATTTTAATTAATTACAAGGAAAGCCGGGATCGTCGTAATTCTAAAGGTCAAAGTAAACGAATAACTACGGCAGGCAGCTACTGTCTACGTCTACAATACATACACTGTGTGCTACACGAAATAATTACACACATTTTCTAAATTTACAGGCATAAATTAGTGACAAAATAGAACCTTGGGGTTTTATCCCATTTCTTACATATTGTTCTTGTTCCATTATTATTTTTTTACGGTAAAATATAACATAGCGTTGTACAATTTTCATGAGATAAGTAAGTATAACTTGTTATGATTTCGTTATTTTTGAGTGCGAAATACACCACTTTATTTTTCTGTCCTTTTTTTGTACTTAAGAGATATCGCGACGAACTGCAAATAAACGAACGTAACGCCATCTCTTCGCCACATAAGAACCATTGCCGTCAATATTGACCAAAATGTCAAACCGTTTCCAACTTTTATTTCGTTCTAAAACCGAAGCTTAGATTTTTGTGACGTCTGAAAATAATAATAATAAAAAAAATGATGGGATGTAAGCATTAGCGGAGACAACGAGAATCTAATTTTGGCTTACCTTAGTTCCTAAGACGTCTAAAGCAAAATACGTATTACGCTTTTAGCTTTACAACCGACTATGCACAACATTTATATAAATATATCACTCCCTAAGATGATATGTTTTGTTACGCAGAATTCCTTCGACCAACGTCATTTTCACTCCGATATATTTATTATTATGCAAAGTAGTGCTACGATACGGCTGAAGTTATTACTACACTCCGCTCCGATATCTATTTACTTAGAAAATAAAATATTATGTAGGCGAAATAAATACGAGCATTTTGCGCGATGCATTTTTACTAATTACTGTACTCTTAACTAATTAACCATTAAATAAGCTGTGAACAAAGGACTGACTCAACACAGATTATATAATAATTTGCAAAAATTATGGCTATTCAAATTAAACTATTCAAAGTAGGAAAATACAAAATATGTCTATCAAAAAAGTATGGGTAGTTAAGATTGCAAATGGAGCCTTTTAGGACGAGCCTAAGTCTAATTTTTATTCAGTCTCATGTTTTCGCATACGTAAGTTTGTAGAAGTTACGAAGAATTCGAAGAAGCAACATACTATGTTATAATATATAAGAACAGATATATCTATGAAGATATAGCTCCGGTATGGTAGCTCAGTGGCTGAGTATTACCGTACACGATGCGGACCAAATCCCGTCTGTTATTGAGGCCTTAATCTATATTTCAAATAAATCCGTCAAAAGATCATCTTTTGAAAAATGTTATATCAAGGAAAGATTAAGCCGTTACTTAAAATATAATATACTAAGCCACGGAACGACAAACATCTTTAGGCTTATAATATAAATTTATGGCAGATTCCCAACTGAACATAGCTATTTATGACGCCCTGATAAATAATTTTAACGTCTCGATCTCGCGAACTTAGTAAATAAATAACGTTAATTAAACCGCCAACTGTAATTTATAATATTTAATTTATCGTATAGTTATCCAAATCAATTCTTAAGTCGTCTTCGCCAAACAGCATATCGATCGGAAATCGCTTTCTCAGCATACACGGCCGTAGAATAACATCGTTTCAGTTTAGACATTTAGTCATTCGTATAAATACGTTAGGTCCTATCAAAATAAACACAACGAGGGTATTGTATGTCGAGGGCCGCTCCGATTTATTTCCTTCGGTGCTCATTATTTTGACAGGAAGTTGTGTGGGAGTCGGCTCGAGCCGGACGACGTTCACTGAAACAATATAGGATATTTGAAATGCTTCCGTCCGGCGAAATAAGGTCCGAGGCCATTTTTCACACTCACCAGTTATAGTTTGATTTTGAACGTCGGCGTATCCCTCTCCCACGGTCGGGTAGCTCGGGATCGTGCTGAGGCAAGGTGATATCGACCGTCTGGTTCGGATACAGATGCAGACTGGACAAGGGGAAACGAAGTGACGAATTCGTGAGCGACAGCGGCATCCCGTGGTGATGGCGATGGACGTTTACGGTTCCGTGGGGGATCGTCAACCTTTCGTCCACCTTACAAAAACAAACATTCATAAGGCATTTAAATAAAAATGTTTTGGATCCCGGGTGCAAATTTTATTACTTTGTAAACCGCTTGTTGAATCCTACAAAAATAACTGGTAGAAATGGCACGGAAAAGTCTCGGCGACTACGTGGAGTATGAAGGTACAAAACAATGTTTAAAACTGACATTTATTAAGGCGTTATTAGCCCCAGGAAGTCAGAATGATTTAAAACGTTCCATTCGTCTAGAAAAAACATTGCAACACTGTAAGTGGTATTAAAAACCTTTTATTTGCACCAATGAGGAGATGGCTCAACGGAAGCAGAGCAGCTGTGAGCTTTCCGAGAATTGAACATCGCGTAATTTTCATTTCATTCTTCACTTTACAAATGAGGAAATATTTGCTTTATTTTTTGTTCCAGATATAATATTTACAGGCGTATTTAAAACCATCGGAATAAATGAGGTATTGTCATAGAGTATTTGCATTGTAAAGGTCCTATATTTATCAGACCTTTTCATAAACAGGCGAACGAATAGGAATATTAAATGTATGTATTATAGTACAATCTTCAAGTAAATATAAGCGAAGTATATCGTAAATAAGTCTGGTTTGCTTTATTTTAAAACCGAGTCCCAGAGTTGAAATCATACGCGTTCGGATCTTCCACCCGGATTAACGAAATACAGCCCCGCTCGTACGGCTAATACTATTTACCCACAACCGAAGCGAGTCAATTATAGAGCGGTCCTCGTGGACTCCTGTTTGATCAAATTGAATTATCAAGTTTCTAGTAGTACGCCAATTTTGTTAGTGCAGCACCCCACAGGTGACACGGAAACGTTTGTTATGATGGCGATATCTTTAAAGCTAAAAGGTTCGCGAGGTTTTTTTGTGACAAAAAATTACTGTACTCTCATCGAATTTCATTGAATAACTTTACATACAGATATCGGGTATTGTTTAAATTCAAAAAGAAATAAATCTGACATATATTAAAACTAAAGTACAAATAAAAGAAATTAACACTATTGTGCCAGAACTATTACAGTTAGACTACTCTTTCGCGACATTTTTGTAGCGCATGCGACGAAAGACTTTTTTACACGTTGGATTACGTTCCTAAAGTTTTAGTAACCACCCCTAATCTTTTCTAGGAATAAATATAGCCAATGTTACTCAGAATGAATGTAGCTTTCTGATGGTGAAAGATTTTTAAAGCGACGCAGCAGTTTTTGAGTCGTTACAAACATACAACACAGAAATGCAAATCTTTCCTATTTATAATATTAGTGTAGATCAGGTCGATAGATCAGCTCTTGTTTTTTTTTTTTTTTTTTTTGAATTGATTATTACGTATTGTGTTCCTATGGACCACAAACAACCGGACGTGGGCAGCGCGCTCGCCGTGTGCGACTAGACCAAGGGTGCCCCGAGGGGGCATCGGCCTCCGGACCGCCCAAGAGGGGGAGCTTGAAGCTGGACAGCCACCGGGTGACCGTAGCGAGTGACCTCCCTGCGGTTTGTGGGCGAGGCGGCCACGCAAACAAGGAGACGACGGCTTTCGTTAGATCGTCGTGCGAAAACATTACGCGGCCTTCTCCAGCGTGTATTGACGGGGGCATCTTGTGAGATACTATATGGTTGAGGTAATTCACCCTCCTTTGAATAAACCCCATGCTCGTCGTCCTCAGTCATTAAAAAAAGATTTTATAACAAATCCGTATTTAGTAGCACGGAACGTAAAAATTTAATAAGTTCCTGCTTTGCTTATGAAAAGGTTTACCGCAACCGGCGCGCGTTTGAGAGAATTATTTAATAAATGGCACCGATTTTAATTGAGGAACATTGTCGGGAAGAATTACCTGGATAATATAAATGATACGTTCTGTGAAGGGAGAATGTAATTAGGCAACTAAGTCGTGGTCAATATGAGACGTGAACTGAACTTAGGCTACAATGTTTACAATTACTATCTTCTTCTTTGTGTTTCGCAATAAGTCTGGGCAAATTAAATGTATGTTACTTACTAACTAGTAGAACACATAAATTGTATACAAATATTAAAACGCTGAAGACTTTTATTGGTTTGAACGCGCTGATTTCAGGAACTAGTTTGAATTTAAATCTCTGCGTTGAACAGACCACTAATCGAGAAATGTTTTAGGCTACATAACGAGACCTTGCGAATGCCATTGCTTGCGCAGCGAAAACGGTTCAAGAAAATAAAAAGTATATCCGTGTTGCGGCGCAGTAGAGGACTCCATCAATGAGCAGGCAAATGCATTCAAAGCAGCATTGCCTGTCCATCTTTATAATCACATTGCAAGTCGAGTGTCAACTATTTCTTAGAGCAAAATTAAACGTAGAATAAGAATGATTCCTCATTAAAGGATCTAGAAAAATGTCCGCGATATATCTTTATTTATCTTCTAAAATTATCTCTTAAGAATGATGGGACGCGGACGACGTGGCGAACAGTTAGTTATTTATATTCGGTTTCTCTAGCTGTTCAGCCGCCGTATTCGTTAACGACCATTTTTCAACTACGGCAAAGCAGCTCAACAACTTAACTACCACTAGCGTATATTTGCGCCCAAATCTGAGTAAACGAAGATGCATTTGTGGATATATCCTGCGAGCTGTCACTGAATTGTAACGTATCATTCCAAACATTGACTAACAATCAACCGATAGTGAGGAATTGCGGTGGATTGCACAAAACAAATGGATCATGTGTACAGCTGCTGTCTCCCGAACTAATTAAGCAGCAAATCCTCAAATAACTGAAGCGGGGTTAGCTCCGTTTAGAATTTGCGAATAGTTTATTAGTGAGTTAACGATCGATGTTTGATTTTCGAAATAAACATGTAGGAAAAAGTTATTCAACTGTTTGGGTAAAGTAACAATTATTCAATAATATATATTAAATAATTGTATTTACTAGTAGGTGAATCGGACCCAAAAATCAATACCACCAAAGGCAAACGGAATTTTTTTTCTTTATTATCTTTCTCTATTTTACGAATTACCTTCACGTTATTGATGAGCCAAGTGAGATATGGGGCGGGGTAGGCAGCAGCACTGTGGCAGGTGGCTTCTAAGTCGCCGTTGGGTGACAATTTCTGATGTTTAATCTTTATCTTTGGACGGTGTTTCTGGCGAACTGCAACAGTATTAATCTTTAATATAATCGTAATACATACAATTGGACTAAATAATTTAAAGAAAATCTTTTAACGGTTTAAAACGCGAAAAATTATTTATATTTTTTAACTACAGCAGTACGGTCCTCGCAAAACTGACTCTGTATTGCTCGCGTAAAGTACATACAGCGTGTATGTACTTTACGCGAGCAATACGTCCTCTTCCCCCCGGGCCGCCGTACAGTTTGGACGTGCTTTTAGCGCGAGTGATAAAATAAAAATTTAATTTAACTCTGTTTTTAAACAAAAAGTTACGCAATAAATAAAACTACGGTACCAGGAGCGCATACAGTGAGTAGCAGTAGACAGTGCCTCCTCCCGCCAAACGCTAGCCCCGCCCCCAGTGCGCACGCGCCGCTCGTAATTGGAAGGACGGCCGCCAATTGGGTCAAGGACACTGATTGCTCGAGTTAACGTATTGTGAACCTTAATCATATTAAAATATGAAGAAAACTCCACCGTCGATGATCCATGCAGATTGCGATGCCGGTGAAAGCTCAACGCAAGAGAGCGACAACGTTAATACGAAGTTGCGTCAAAGGAAAAAAGTGGCTCGGGACGAAAACGACGACTTTCTCGTTTTAAGAAACGAGATGAAGGAATGGCTGCGCACTTTCCAGCGCGAACTAAACTCCAAGCTTGACAAACTCCGGGATCAACAGAATAGCCGTTTAGAGGCTATGGAAGGGTGTATCGCTGAATTATCTTCGAAGCTCTCGACAGTCAACGAGACCAGCCAGTCCATCGAAAATTCGATCGAATTCGTCTCCACAAAAATAGAAGGTATGCAAGGAAAAATCGACAATTTCCAAAAAAATATTATAGCATTGTCGGCTCAACTTGTGGACCTCGAAGAGAAGCACGAAGCCCTAGACCGAGCCATCCACAAAACAACTATTGAAATTAGAAACGTTCCCAAGCAAAGTCAACCTCCGTCCAAAGCCGAACTCTTCGCCTATTTAACTCAGCTTGCGTCTAGTCTACAAATTGACTTTTCAACTAGTGACATTAGAGACGTGGCCCGCTTCACCAACAGAAAAGATAACTCGACTTGGAACCTCACCGTTGATCTATGTAATACCCTCACAAAAACTAACATCTTAAGCGCTGTTCGAAAGTATAACAAGGAGCACAGATCGAGTCAACTGAACTGCAGCCACATAGGAATGGTGGGACATACTCCTATATATGTCTCAGAATTTCTTACACCGAAGGCTAAGCGGCTTTTCTTTCTGGCGAGGGAGTTGGCTAAATCAGAACAATACGACTATTGCTGGTCTTCGAATGGTAACGTATATCTTAGGAAAAATAACGGATCCAAATACATCCTCATAAAGAACGAAGAGCAACTCAACTTGCTAAATAGCGCATGACTAGTCTTAATTTTACTTAACTTATTAATGTCAAAACATAAATCAAATGTAATGTTATCAATCCATTACGCCAAGTTATATAGTATTCTCAAACACCTATTAAATTGTTTAGTATCACACTTCAGTTATCAACATAGTTATTATAATTTTACTCTAGTCGGGTCGAACGTCTTGGAATTTCTAAAACAAATGTTCTATTTATTTTTATTACCAACACTCCAAGGAAACATTAATGTCATTCCTAAACACTTAGTTATCTCATGTAAAACAATTAGTTGTACTACAAGTTATACACTTTCTTCCACATTAACCAAGTATTATTATAATTTTTTAAAGGCAAAGTTCTGCGTCCTACTACACCCATCTATTTAAATTCGATAATATTAATTTAATTCGCGATATTGACAATACACATTTTATACCCAATGAATACCTTACATATCCTGAAGACTGCAAAACTTTTTTCAACTCTTCCAACTTAACAATAGTGTCCCAAAATATTCGAAGCATAAATAAAAATTTTGATAGTTTTCTAGTTTTCCTAACAAGACTTCAATTCAAGCCGGATTTAATCATTCTAACAGAGTGCTGGATTGATAAAAACTTTACAGGCTTAATTCTTGACGGATACATATGCACTTTCTCCCAAAGTTACAAAAATAAATGCGATGGAATTGTTATATTCTACAGAAACTGCATGAACCTGATTACTACTGAACCGGTTTATCCTGAAGCAAATTTTCTAGTTAGTGTGTTGAATAGTGAAACGGTAATCATATCTATATATAGATCTCCATCCACATACAACGTTGATGCCTTTCTCAACGCACTAGAAAACATAATTCTCTCCCACATCGGTCAACCTATCTACATTATTGGGGACCTTAATATAGACCTGAAGGAGCTGACTGACGATTTGAGAGCTTACAAACTGCTAGAGCTAGTGAATTACCATGGATTTATCCAAGGTCAATTCATTCCGACCCGCGGAGATAACTGCTTAGATCACGCTTTGTTTAGATCAAACCTTCCTACAAAAGTAGCCGTCTGCCCTTCCCAAGTCACTGATCATATGTCTGTCATTATCGGAATCGAGCAATCACGTCCTCACACCACCCAAAAAATTAATTCTTCTATCTCTTATCAGGTAATTGATTTTGATAAATTAAAAAATGACCTTTCTTCGGTTGACTGGAGTTTTATATGGTCCTTTACTAACATAAACGAAGCTGTCACGGCTTTAACAAACAGCTTAAATAAATCTATTAAAGCCCATACCAAAACACGATCCCAAAGAAATTCCAAAGCAATCAGAAAACAATGGATGACTCCTGGACTATTACGCTGTGTTAGAAAAAGAGACTATCTACACTCACTAACCAGAAAAAAGCCGAACAATCAAACACTCCAAAATGAATACACTCAGTATCGCAACTTTTGTAACAATATCCTCCAAAACCTTAAAAATCTTCACGACAGCATGACTATACAAGAAAATAAAAACGACAACCGAAAACTCTGGAAATGTATCAAAAATATATGCAATCTTAATTCTAATAAAGAAAATTCAAGTAAATTACTAAATATCAAACCAAACCCGGAAGAATCCCTCAATACTGTAAATTCATTCTTTTCAACGATTGGCGAAAAGATTTCTACAGAAACCTTGCTCAAATTAAAGCGAACTGAAAAAGATCTAGTCCAGAATATTTCCATTCCCTCCAAACCTAACTCTTTTCTGTTTCTCCCTTGCGACGAGCGTGAAATCCTTAAGATTATTAACTCCCTTAAACCCCATGCGGCCCCAGGACATGACATCATAAGCAACCGTATAATTATTTCCCTAAAAAATATATTAGCAGCGCCTATAGCATACATTTGTAACCTCAGTATTGAACAAGGAATTTTTCCCGAATCGTGGAAACTTGCGTACATTACCCCAGTTCATAAATCCGGTTGCAAGACGCAAGTTTCGAATTACCGCCCTATCTCACTTCTCCCAAGCTTAGCTAAAATTATGGAGAAAGTCGTCAATACAAGACTACTCAATTACCTGGAAAAGGAAGACATGCTAGCTAATAACCAATTTGGTTTTAGGCATAACAAATCGACAGAAGACGCAACTACTGCTCTGGTTGAGACTGTTAGCTCAAAATTGGACGAGGGTCAAAGGTGTATTGGTGTTTTTCTCGATGTAGCGAAAGCTTTTGACACTATCTCCAGACCAATCCTGTTGGAAAAAATGGAAAGATTAGGATTCCGGGGCAACATCCTAAACTGGTTCCGATCTTACCTATCCAACAGAAAACAAATAGTCAGAATAGATAGTTTAAAAAGCCTGGAAAAAGTAGTCTCCTACGGCTTGCCACAGGGTAGTGCAATAAGCAGTTCTCTATTTCTAATCTATATTAACGACTTATGTACAATGAAGCTTTCTAATGCCAAGTTATTCTCCTTCGCTGACGACACGGCGATTATCTTTTATTCACGTTCCTGGGAACAAGCCGCCCTCGTTGCCCAAACGGGTCTCACCCGTATTTCTCAATGGCTCACCAATAATCTTCTTTCGCTTAATACAACAAAAACTAAATACATTTGTTTTAACATCTCTAAGGCAACTGCCCCAAAACCAATCCCCCCTATTAAACTCCATTCTTGTCATAACCCCTTCTCGACCTGCCAATGTCCAACCATAGAATCGACTGATTCTATTAAATACCTCGGGGTAATGGTAGACTCGAGGCTTTCTTGGGGTCCTCACATTAGTTATCTGTGCGCTCGTGTCCGAAAACTTTCAAGCGCCTTTAAACGCCTCAGTAAGGCGGCAGAGACTAATACTATTAGGACAGTCTATATAGCTTTATGCCAATCTGTGTTATCTTATTGCATTTCCACATGGGGCGGTGCGGTAACAGGTCTTATGCTCAAAATAGAACGGGCACAGCGTGCTATCCTAAAAATTTCCCTTAGAAAACCGTTTCGGCATCCAACTTCAGAATTATACAAAGAATGTAATCTCCTGACGGTCAGGCAACTGTATATTATATCAACTTGTCGTCGCCAACTCAAAACGCCATCACAATCTAAAACATCCGAACAAACGTCTTTAACACAACGAAAAGTCCAATTCCGAACTCCGCTCAAACACACCTCTTTTGCCCAACGATTTTTTACTTTTAAAGGTCCCTTCCTGCTTAACTTGTTCATTAATAAAAATATAATTAGCCCACTTACTTCTTATTCTTCCCAATTAAATAAAATTAAAGTGTTTCTTCTAAAATTAAATTATACTCAAACAGAAAACTGTATTAAGGTAATTGCATGACAAAATGTTATCCATATTTTTAAGTTTATTTTTTATTATTTAAATACTTAGCATATAATAACTTTATGAGTACATAGTAGATACTAAGTTTTTCATTGTTTTTCTCGAAATGCACCGGAAGAGTCTAGCCGCCCACGACACAGGGAATCCTAGTGTGGGGGCTAGCACACCCTGTAATGATATGTACACAGTTTTGGTGAATAAAGAATTTGTATTTGTATTTGTATTTGTATATTATTTGTGTAGAATAATTAAAAAAAAAATTTAGCGTAAAAGAAACATCTTCATATTTATGTTTTATGTGCTATTTTGATTGTTTACCACCTTAAAATAGCGTGTTTCTCACTTTGAGCTAGTAATGAGTGAAAATCGAAGTGTACATTTCCACCCCGTCACGATAGGATCGAACCCGCCCCGGCCGAAGGGTTTCACGTCAAGTTATATTAATGTCATTATAATACTTTCGCCTCGTAATGCCATATTTTGTTTCAATGTGGGATGTCATAATGACACGCGAGGTCATAATGTTATTATGATGGCCCAATGTCATTATTCCTTCTTCTGCAGAAAATCCTATTATTTGATTTGCAAAAGTGCCTGTTCTGGCTCAGCTAATGGCTACAATATTCTTCTGTATATTCAGAGTGGGGTATTGGGTTCTTTCCCGGACACAGCTGAGAAATATTTAATCAAACTGTTACTCGCAGTTGTGAATCTTAAATTACAAATTAAAAATGCACATTTAACGACCAATAAATCTATAATAACATTATCTATTTAGTAATTAGTTTAAATACTGTCTTTAATTTACGCGAGAAGTACACATTTAAATAAAATACTTTAACGGTTTAAAACGTAATCGTGTAAGTGTAGCATTCGAAAGGAAATATAATTTGTATTAAATTTAACTAATATATATCGCGTTTAATAAAATAATTAAGCACTGATGTTCCTGTTGTATTATTATCATTAATATGACACAAGGACACTGAAAAGTTATTTTATAATAAAGCATAAGATGTGTTATTTTATACGCCGTGGCAAACGTAAAATTATTTAGACGAAATATTCACGAATCTCGTCTTGTCTACTTGAAACACCGATCCTGTTATCTGAAAATTAGTTAAGCTAAGTCTTTGATCTAAAAAGTATCAGTTTTCGAGAATTTTCTGATTCCAGAGAGGTGTCTTTAATAACTCAAATAAAACTTTGCTTTTCATTTAAGGTAACGGTTAAAGTTTTCATTAAAGAAGGATGAAGTATTCAATCTAAAAGGGTATGAAACGGCTTTAGTAAAATGACCTCTGGTATCCCCTGTTCCAACCCCTACAGGGTTGGAACAGATGTAGTATATCCGTATCACTTGCATAGACTGCATATAATTCGAAATCAGGAACTCTTGCGGTTAAACTGTTTCAGGCTGTCACCTCCCCCCTCGGGGCACCATGGTCTAGCCGCAAACACGGCAAGCGCTCGCCCAAACGCCCGGTTAGTATTCGAGGTCCCGTCGGGACCGAATACGTTATAGTATTAAAAAAGGCTGTCACCCCTGAATACGGGGAATAAAAGAGTACACACGAACATTACCTAATTTTCGTAACACCAAACTGCAAATTATGATTTTCCATTGTATTTTCCGAGATGCAAATTAAATCAAGCCGCTTCGTACATTCTCTCAACCCCTGAGACACCTGTTGCCACCGACCTGTTTCGTTTCCGTTTAATGTTACATCCGCATTTTCCAGTAAAAGAATAAGAGTTTAATAGTAGATTCTGGTTCTCTCTTTCGCTGCCTATCTATCTTGTATACGTTGTACATTTCGATGAAAATTATGAAATAATGAGCGATTTACTGTCTGAGGTAACTAGACCGTAGTTTTTGTTGGTTAAAGTTTAATTTATTCGCAGCTGAATAAGCGAGCCAACTCTAATTAATTCAGCCGGTGGTTGAAATTGCGGCAGAATAACTCTTATTTAAGAAAAACAAACCAACACCAAAGCCTCTCTTTGTTTACATTGCTCGTACTGTATAATTATGCTCTATCTTTTTGTGGATAAACGTTTTTCATACAAATGCTCAGTTTACTTTATTTGCTTAATACGAAAAGCTTTCAATCGCACGTTGTGTTTATCGGACTAGGCTATGAGAAACGGCATATCATTATTAACTCTCTTTTATTTCGCAAAGCCTAAATACACTTCCTGTAGAGAGAAAAAAGCCAACAAACATTTCACATCGCCACTTACCTATAACATTCACTTCGTGTATTTTGGAGAGCTTCGAGTACAAAGGGATTTCCATCGCAATTTCGCAGGCGTAGGTGCCCGCCGCGCTGAAATCCATTCTGTCCAACGTTATCGACGTGGGTGTCACTTTTATCAACTGGGAAAAGCCATTTTCATAAAAAAACATTAACAAATATATTAGTCGCAGGGAAATTGCTTACGCGTAAATGAATTAAACAGTAAACAGTCAGTTCCAAAATAAAATCGCTGTTTTTAAAACACGTGAAGGGTCTAAAATTAAACCGTATAACATGAAATGCTTTTAAAACTAAGCCGATCGTTATCTTGCTATTTAAAACAGAATAAAACGTTTCACATTAAATAGTTAAGTTTACTGTTTACGTGACGCACGTGTTAGATTATTCTGATAATTTAAGTTCTTTTGTTACACTAAGTTATGTTTTAATCTCAATTTGTCTCTAAAGTCATACAGATATTCTATAAATATTACAAAATTGTATTAAGACAAATGTAAATGTAACCGTTTAATTATTATAACTATATAACAACTTATTAACATGTGAAACCGAATTAGTACATTATAATTACAGTGTCCTGTTTAAGACATACAATTATAACTTATTTTGAATCATGTATTTTATGTAAAGCTTTTCTTTATAAATAAGACGATTTAGTTACTGATAAAACGATTGTTCAACCAAATTTATAATTATACTATTTAATTTTTGTATAAATGTATAATGTTAGTTTTACGTTGAAATGATGCAACATCAATATGGAATTGCATCATCCGATATGACGTCACTGGGCCCATAGAATGGCGCCCTAGCATTCCCGCCCCGCACACTCACTCCCGCGAAGCCACAGCGGACGGACCTAAATCGAGGAAAACCCTACACAGAAGTGAAATGACGCAACATCAATATGGAATTGCATCATCCGATATGACGTGACTGGCCCCATATAATGGCGCCTAAATTGAGAAAAACCCTACACAGAAGCGAGATGCCATACCAAACGGACTTAAGTTAAGTGAGCCCTAGCTTGTCTTTAGTTTATGTGTCTATTGTTATTTTCTCAATAGTAAAAGTACACTTTATATTTGTTTAACGCTCACTGTATATAAATTAAAGCAATATTGTGTCAACCATATTCATGTCTTCTTATTTATGTATCAGTATACAATTTTTAATTAAAAGAGTTTTAGATACAAATTTGATTTGATATATATACCCGACCAACTACATTTAATATTATTAAAATTTTTTAATTAATCTTTTATCAGAAGTGGGATACGAATCAATACAGTGAATAAAATACCTCACGCCATGTTTGCTCGTCTAGTTATATATATATATTTTTTCTTCTTATTATGTCACATTGTTTTTTTTTTCTCGTTTTGTTTTTTTTTTTTTGAAATAAAGATATTAACGTGTACTTTAAGTACTTATAAAGGGGTGTGACACGTAATTTGTTAAATATATTGAAAGATTTTGATGATGCAAATGGATTATAAGTTTCTAAAAAGAAATCAGCGACGTATTCAGATACTAGCAATAGATTTTGTGCTTAATTTTGTTACGAATCGTAATACGTAAAAATAAAAAGCCCTCACTTTGGATGAATAATTGAGATAAGTATCCAAACTAATACATCAAGTATGAGTTTCAGAGAATTATGGACGATCAGCGAGAACATCTGCAACATAGCCGGGACTGCTTAAGGCGTGATGAAGTGGCACATGGCCATCAAACACTACTCCTTCGCCAGACAAGGAGCCCTGAGAATTATGGACGATCAGCAAAAACATCTTTAACGACGCCGGGACTGATCGAGACGTGATGAACTGACACACGGCCTTCGAACACTACTCCATTATCAGACAAGAAGCCCTGGTGAGAACGTGAAAGAATGATCTTTAACGGAGACATACAAAAGGACTTTAAGAAATAGTTTCCTTGCTACTAAACGATCTTTTTTTTTCTGTTATTATGACCGTCTATTTTTTTTTAACGTACTGCCCTGATATTAGTTCTATCTATGATCTTAGTTGATTATTATTTATTTTATTTTATTTGGAAAAGGTTATGATCGTTTAATGTACTGCTGGTCGGTCACTGCCCTGATATCAGTCTGAAATTCATGCGCAGCAGGTGATAGGGCTGATATGTCAAGGCCAGAGGCTATTTATTGTTTAACTGCTGGTCAGTCACTGCCCTGATGTCAGTCTGAAATTCATGCGCAGCAGGTGATAGGACTGATATGTCAAGGCCAGAGGCTATTGTATAAATTACTGTGCGATCACAACCCCGATATTAGTTTGATGATTCAGGAGCAGCTAATGATAGAACTGATATGTCAAGGCCAGAGGCTATTTATTGTTTAACTGCTGGTCAGTCACTGCCCTGATGTCAGTCTGAAATTCATGCGCAGCAGGTGATAGAACTGATATGTCAAGGCCAGAGGCTATTGTATAAATTACTGTGCGATCACAGCCCCGATATTAGTTTGATGATTCAGGAGCAGCTAATGATAGAACTGATATGTCAAGGCCAGAGGCTATTGTATGAATTACTGTGCGATCACAGCCCCGATATTAGTTTGATGATTCAGGAGCAGCTAATGAATAATGATAGAACTAATATGACAAGGTCAGAGACTTTTTTTTTTTTATGAATATAAAAATGCGATTTGAAGGTACTTCGAGAGCGAAGTACTAATCAGTCTGGCCGTGTTAGATTATTCTGATAATTTAAGTTCTTTTGTTACACTAAGTTATGTTTTAATCTCAATTTGTCTCTAAAGTCATACAGATATTCTATAAATATTACAAAATTGTATTAAGACAAATGTAAATGTAACCGTTTAATTATTATAACTATATAACAACTTATTAACATGTGAAACCGAATTAGTACATTATAATTACAGTGTCCTGTTTAAGACATACAATTATAACTTATTTTGAATCATGTATTTTATGTAAAGCTTTTCTTTATAAATAAGACGATTTAGTTACTGATAAAACGATTGTTCAACCAAATTTATAATTATACTATTTAATTTTTGTATAAATGTATAATGTTAGTTTTACGTTGAAATGATGCAACATCAATATGGAATTGCATCATCCGATATGACGTCACTGGGCCCATAGAATGGCGCCCCAGCATTCCCGCCCCGCACACTCACTCCCGCGAAGCCACAGCGGACGGACCTAAATCGAGGAAAACCCTACACAGAAGTGAAATGACGCAACATCAATATGGAATTGCATCATCCGATATGACGTGACTGGCCCCATATAATGGCGCCTAAATTGAGAAAAACCCTACACAGAAGCGAGATGCCATACCAAACGGACTTAAGTTAAGTGAGCCCTAGCTTGTCTTTAGTTTATGTGTCTATTGTTATTTTCTCAATAGTAAAAGTACACTTTATATTTGTTTAACGCTCACTGTATATAAATTAAAGCAATATTGTGTCAACCATATTCATGTCTTCTTATTTATGTATCAGTATACAATTTTTAATTAAAAGAGTTTTAGATACAAATTTGATTTGATATATATACCCGACCAACTACATTTAATATTATTAAAATTTTTTAATTAATCTTTTACACGCTTCAAGGTTTCCGTTCTACTATTGCCTTTTAAAATTATTCTCATTCTCGATTTAAATTTAAACAACAGACATTTTAATAAATACAATGCCAGTATTCATGAAGTTATAGTTAAAGGAGTACAAAGGTTAAAGTTTAGTCTTCGTTTCATGTGTTCAAATAGTTCTACATGGTTAGGTTGAGTTACAATTGATTGAAGACAATTCATTTTCGACTTAAGTACACGAAGTAAGACAAAAGACCTTATATTTTATTCTTTACAATTCCGATCCTTGACAGAGTCGATAACGTATTCAGAATTGTACAATAAGCTCTCGTATCTTATTATTATTCTTATGGACAAAGGTATATTTTCTAAGAGAACGAGGAATCGATAAGTTTGAATAGAGTTAACGCAACTGACGTATTTTCGACATACATCTTATAAGTTAATAAACCTCGATTTTTTAGCATTCTTAATAGAAATTCAATTTCTGGCGAAAGGTAAAATGCTTTTCAGTGTCGTTAGCTAAAACATAAATTGCCACTCTAATAAACCTTTAAAACTAAATAAATATATTAGTTAAAACTTATTTGAAAAATGATTTTTTAACTTCGGCCCGACGTTTCGGATGCTTTGCAGCAGCCGTGGTCAGCAGTTAAAAATCATTTTTCAAATAAGTTTAACTAATATATTGCGTTTTAAACTGTTAAGTTTTTTATTTAAATGTGTACTACTCCCGTAAACTATAGACAGTATCTATTAAACCTGTCAAATATAACTTCAAGAATAGTGACGTCAATTATACATTATTAATGTTGAGTGCTACCTATTGCCACAGATATCTAATGGATATCTAATGATTGTACGTCAACAGGCATCGGTTACATTATTCTGTGGCTCGGGGTCGTTATTTCAAGGCTTTGCACCAGGACAAATTTCACCATAATTAAAAATGAAAATAATCTGTATCGTAAAATAATGAATAAAACGACAATGTTGTTCTTTTTTTAATTCCCTATGAAAACTAAACATTAAGAAAAGTAACGTCAAAGTGACGAGTAAAATTTGACAAAAATGTAATATATTACTTGTGAATAAAACCGTGAATGATCAATTAGATTAATGTCAAGTTCACGGCGTTTGACGTAAGATATTTTGGGCAGAAAGGAATTGTGGTAGTTTATGGAATATCAATAGCGCTATTGCATAGATTAGCCTCTCTTAAAAGATCGTCAGAAGTCGGGCCTTCATCGATCCTAAGCCAAATTAAACTTCCCTGCGCGATGTCACTAATCGCGAAGAAATTAAGTTTATAAAAACGATGCAAGTTGCGAAGCAACAGTGACGTCGGCATCTGCGTGTTCTTAATTGCTTCATAACTGCGTGCCACCGAATATTTAACCACGGGTGCAAGCGGGCTATCGATTTCAAAGGGAGCCGTGAATAACTTTGCCAGGGCGTAGAGAACTGTTAGCGATGTTTTTGAAGCATTCATTGCCATCTTGTAGCTATACGTTTTTCCCGCGTAGAACATAAAAACCTGTGTCGATACCTAAGGTAATTTCTATAAGCACTGCATTGCCCGACGTATACTCGAATGCATGTACAAAACTTTTAGGAATCGGAGTATGCACCGTAATAACCATAATGCATATTACGTTCTCGAGAAAACGAATTTAAAATCAAAGTGGTGCCTCGGGAGTTGGGCACTACAATATCCTCAAATCGATATTGTTCACCGTCGGAACGTAACAGCCGGAAGCCATCGACTCGTACAGGTGCGGTGCGCTGTGCTAACCGAACTTCTGTACTGTTCGCATACTTTTCACTGATATCCAAAAACTGTACTAAATTGATAACAAAGCAACAGAGATCATATTAGATATTTTAATCCCTGTCCGTATAGTCACGAAACTCGCTACGTGCTTTCTTAAATAACATTATTGCTTATCTTAGTTTCAAGCGCAGAAGGTATAAGTTATGATCCATTTTTACAGCCCGCTGGGTTCGGCTGTAAGTTGTAACAACACACGATGAGATAACGTTCGTTCCGCGGATATTGGCTCGTGGGATACGGCAGCTAGGTGCAGCTGCTTTTGCTGCGCGAAACATCCGATATTTTGTCGCTTATCGACCTCTCGATTGGGGTTTGATTAACGATTCGGAATACATTAGAATCGTACCTATAGTATTTAATTAATCTCGGGTAGCAATGAAGATATTACTCGTTAAATGCAATACTTTAATAGTACGTGCTTTTTTTTCACATTATTGGATATGTGAATATAACCCACATTCTGCAAAAAAATATGATTTGTAAATACTGTCTATAGTTTACGCGAGTAGTACACATTTAAATAACACTAACAGTCTAAAATGCGTGGTGGTGGTTCCCGTGGTCACGGGGAGACTGCTGTTGCAAAGCATCCGAAACGTCGAGCCGAAGTTAAAAATCATTTTCAAATAGGTTTAAATAATATATCGCGTTTTAAACCGTTAAACTGATTTATTTAATATGATATTTTTTAAATTGTACTGTTCACTTATAACCGAAAATAAGCTATGCCATATTCGAACAAACTAAAGTATCTTTTTAACAAAAAATGCAAGTAAATTTTATCAACTTACATTAATATCGGCTCCTATAAAATTGTAAAATTCGTAAGGCGGGTCTCTTCCCCGGACATACTGCATAATTCGGTGGCTGTCCTTGAAGAAAACCACCTGGACAGAAAGAGTTAGATTAAGTTTGTATGATATATTCGTTTCTTCTTTTAAATTTTAGTAGTTATTGTTCTATTAGCGAAGACTGACCTACAACGTTCACTTTGTCTACGAAATAATTGAGTGTTTAAGAATAAAGCAGTGCATTATGTATATTAATTTATCTCTGTGAAGCTTAGACAAAACAATCTCGTGACCACGCTGCGCTGCAGAACAGACATTTTCATTAACATTATTGTAATAATACTCGTGATTGCTTCTTTGATGTCGGACATTTTGCATTTTGTGACATAAGTATCATCGTCATACAATTACCTACTACATCTATTATTTTAGTTCTTTTTTTGTGCCCGTTGTGTATTTTCCAGGATCTTAATCCAAAGCACATTCTGCTCGATGGCACAGTATAAGGGCGACCAAGAACAGCCCCTACGCCTTTTTAATTATTAATGCTGTACCTTGTATATCGTTTCCGGGTCTACGTTATGTTCGCAGCGCACCTGCGCGCTGTGGCCGTGCACCACGAAGCGAGGAGCTCTCAGCTCGACCCACACCTCTGACATGCTTGATACTGGAAAAAAATCCTCATAAAGCTTTATATTGAAGTACATAGAATCACGTAGATCCCACGTGGTCCTACATAGGTACTCGTGCTATAATATACTTTTGACATTTATTTCTTTTCCATAAATGTGCCATGCTAGACAACTCTGCAATGTATCCAAAACTACGTGTATGCGTGACAATTTATAACTGCAATGAATATTAATTTTCATTTCCTGCATCAAACAGTTTTAGCTTGATTGCTTAATTTGAAGTTGTATGAGAGTTTAAAGGCTGAGCGATATCGTGCTTTAATGGCGAAACAATTTGCGGTTTACGAACGGGTTCTCTTAACGCTATTACCTTAATTTAGTTTTACAATTTTGGCTTCAGTGAATAGTTAAGTGACATGTGAAACACAAAAAAGAATTTATACTTAACTAGCTGTGTCAGCGACTTCGTCCGCGAAAATCGTTATTTTAGACTTCCAAATTCGTTTTTCTAAACCCCTTCTTTCTCTTTCTTTAGAAACTTAGCTGTTACGGCGTCGGTCGCGTCCCTTCCCGTCATTCTTGTAAGTTTTTGCAGCGTACGCCTCAGAAACCCATAATGATAAATAATTTTTCCCACAGGGCGATATTTATAAAGCCTTCTTCGATAATTGCTCTAACTAACAGAAAAATAATTTTTCAATTTGAACTCGTAGTTCCTGAGATTAGCACGTTCAAACATACAAACAAACTCTTCAGCTTTATATATTAGTATAGATAAAAGCTGTGTACATTATAGATATAGCTATTGAACAAGAACGGAAAGATGTTAACCAAAATAATGTATTTCGTCCATAAAAACCTCCCTTTAATCATTCAAACCTTTCTCAATATTGGACAAAACACTATTTTCACCACGTCTGAAGCATGATGGATTACGTGTGAAATATGTTTATATGAAAATCTAATATTCTGTATATTGAATTTTATAGAAGATATTGAGTTATTGTACTGGTAAAAATAATGATGGATAATAACAATTTTAATATTTTAATTGTAATCCTTGCACATAGATAATGATTACATCTATCGCTATTTCGCACAAAAATAAATCCCTTTAATTAATACACCGAGATTTCGAATCGCCTCTTTATGGACCCTGTCTTTATTTAGGGTCTGCAATATGTGTCTTATCTCTTAATTTATGGCAACCCTTAGCTATTAGGCCCACGTATCCCCCGCACTCATACTGCTCACGGTGTATTATCGGTCTAAACGTTATATTCTTGAAAGATTACCCATAATATTCGTAGGGTTGTAAAAGTTGTATAGCTATGTCTTAGGATTACGATTAGAGTTGTTTTTATTAAAACTGGGCTTTGAATAGCAAAACGGCCGAGATGTCCAATGTAGATCTTGGCGCAGCAAAGGCTTTTAAAGATAGTGTAATGGCGGTGCAATGAATAAACAATACTCTGCCTTGAGCGAGGAACTGTATCCGTCCTCTCAATAGAAACTTAATTGGAACTGGATAGCCTGCCTAATGGGGGGTTCGTCTTTCCAGTTTATAGTTTCTTTATGGATCGGAAGGATACTGTAATTAGATTTCATCGTAAAGGTAGCCTAGATATAGTACAAATAGGTATAACTCTCGATTGTAAACTTCAGTGGGGACCACACATTAAAAATCTTTCGAATAAACTAAGCTCTGCAGCCTTTGCTGTAAAGAAGATACGACAGCTTACTGATGAAAATACAGCCAAGCTTGTCTACTTCAGTTACTTCCATAGTGTAATGGTATCCTTTTGTGGGGCAACGCAGCCGATATTCAAACCATATTTGTTTTGCAGAAACGGGCTATTCGATCGATTTGTGGTCTTTCCCCACGAGAGTCTGTTCGAAATAAGTTTAAAGCATTGAATATCCTAACGTTGGCAAGTCAATATATCTATGAAAATGTTTTATATGTGAGGAAAAACGTAGATACTTTTAAAACAAACGGCAGCTTTCATCAGTACAATACGCGTGATAAGGACAAAATAAGTGTACCAAACAAAAGGCTCCATAAAAGTAGTAGTTCTTTTCAAGGTAACTGCATACGATACTTTAATAAAATCCCCAGCGAAGTGCAAACACTCTCAATAAATAGGTTTAAATCGTATGTAAAACAAAAATTGCTTGAAAAGGGTTACTATCATGTTAATCAATATTTAAATGATAAAAATGCTTGGGGTGTGGAGCAACCCGCTCTTACAAGGAAAAATATGTTGTGTACTAAAAGTAAATCAAGAATGTAAAATGAAACTTGGCGATAAAAGGAGTGACGGCGAGTTTATTGCCAGTTCTTCTCGTTCGTTCTACGCCCTTGATTTGAGAACTGGTAGTAAATGTAAAGTTAGATTCTATAATTATTTTGTGACGTTCATAAGTGTACATAGTTACCTACATGAATAAATGATTTTTGACTTTGACTTTGACTTGAATATATATTACCATTCTCATTCATTTTGCTAACGAATTATGAAGTTTCTAGTGTGAGTAAAACTTTTAGACATATAAAAATAACACCTATACATAATTACGGCAAAATAATCTTTATGGTACTTTATACTACGAGTTATATGTATTTTTATTTTCTGAAACATGCTTTTAAATTTAGCATTATTTTTACAAAATCGAACTTGGTGGTACTGGTCGAGCAGCGGCCGGTAATAGTCTAGTTTAGCGGCCAAATGTTATTCCCGATATATGATTAAGTAAAATCATATTAGTCATGTAATTTATAAAATCTATATCTTTTACTTCGCAACACGACGTCCAAATAGGTAACCCATCAAAGGTTAAATTTAAAATTCGAACTGGCTTGCACATAAAAAGTTATTTAGTGAAAAAATATTGTCATTAGTCGTTCCGCATTCATCAACTTCGTAATTGGTTTTAAAGTTCTCCGTTATAGCACTTACTTTTAATTTTCTCGCATTATTTATAAAATTACAAGTCCAGCAATCCCTCTCTCTCCGGCCGCTGCACTCATGTACTATTAAGGCTTTAAAAACTTCACAATCATGTTACAGACGTAATGAAAATAGTGTTGTGTACAGTATTGAGAGAGGTTTGAATAATTAAAAGGGACTTCCTTATAAGATACAAAAATATTACGTTGCTATTGCATCAAATAATTAACAAACACGGGGCTCCTACACGTTATTATTTCAGTGAAATTAAAGAAAATGTCGTTTTCCTCAAAACAATTTTTCCCCACAAGCTCAACCATTATTAACCTACTTCTGAACCAGGGACGTGTTTGACTTTTATTTGAGCCCCAATAAATAATGTACAGCCCCTAAAAACTCGCACCCGCGGCTGAACCTGGCTGCGTCGACTGCTCGAACATACCTACCTGGTATTACTTCATAAATAAACGAAGAGAACGTACGCCCGCGCCGATGTAAATAACGGGTCTTGATTGAATTTTCTTATTACTATTATTTATAATCTCACTTAAAAAGGGCAAAAGAACAACTTGCTTTTCTAGTGCTCAAAAGTCAATTTATTTTCAGACTCACTTTTATCTATCTTATAAGAAGTTTTCAGACACAAGAATGATATTTGTAGCTGTGTTAGTTTTAAGTGACTGTATAATTAGAACGGATCTTTATAATACGATCACTAAGAGACAATTCTCGATATTAACAGGATAAAGGCTCTCGCGTCCGGACGTGACTTCGTTTACTTTAAAGCGTTAAACGTCCAATCTATTCCCTCCTTACAGACAGCACGTGGTTCTTATCGCAGGGATTGATACAAGAACGACTTCGTTTCCAGCGAAGGCTGATTAGTACCACTGTCCTTTAGCAATTTCCGCTTCCGGTAGCCGAAGTTGATTCTTGTCGCAGAGCCAGATCTGTATCGGAGTATTTCCTTTTACTCCGTTATATACGTAGAGGCCATTCGCGGTGTGATCCGCGTCGCATCTGATATACTGCCTCTGCCTCTTTATATCGTACGTATGTAGACCGTTCCGATCACAGGTCACTGGGATCCATCGAGTGTTTTAGCTATAAGTGTCAAGGTAATCAAAGATTCTAAACAATTATGTAAGGCTTTGACGACCAATCCTCAAGAAGGGGTAAGTTGTTATTTGTTAACAAAAACTTTCATAATATTCATGAAACGTAGGACCCAAAAAGACAGCACATCGGCCGGGCCCTTAAAGCCTGAGAAGGAAGTCCGGTCGGCTCGAATTTACATCTCTATCGGTTTTCGCGACCCACTTTGTTTCCTTCAAACAAACACTGTTAGCTAATAGTATTTTCCGAACGTAGCCGAATCAATAGAACCTAGATTCTCCTGAACTTCCGGAAATCGCGGGACTGGTCGCTCTTTAGAATACTGAATTTCCGATGCATGATTTGATTACGCGAGGTGAATAGACCGTGTGCTGGCGGAGGCTATTTGCTTCGGTTACGGTATCAAAGCATTGTATAACTTATATGACGGACAAAATTGTAACCTGCGACATGTAATGCCAACACAATTATATCAGTAATTAAAAGTTATTGAAACACCTCTCGATCACCACACTTCTTATATTCATATTCAAATTTACTTTAAAACGAATTTTTTAGTTTATAGTAGAGCCATAAATTATTTTTAATAATATGTAAGCTAAGCTAATATCGCAGTAAGGGTACGCGGTACTCGCGTGTATAGCTCTCATAACGGCTCTGCGTTCGAAGCTAACACGCTGTTGAATAACTGATACGAAATCTTATCAGCGTTTAAGACCTCCGCCAGAACCAGGCTTTGCGTGGATTATATAGAAAAAACGCCTTCTTTTAATCCGGTTTATGTCTCGCGTTAACTGACAAATCTTGTCTCAAATCCCCGTTTTTAGTAGTTTTCGTTTTATAGTTCGAAGTCCATTAAATCAAATCAATATTAGCTTTATTTACTTTACTTTACTTTACTCCACCATTAAACGGGCGACGGCTCAAAAACGACCTTTGCCAATTTACTCGAGCACAAGTTTTGTCAAAGTGTCCTTTCATTTTAATTCAGAAAAAAGTTCAAAGGCAGTAAAAGTAAGTCTAAAATCTAATTACAAGAGGTAATCTCCACAAAGTAAGGGCTTTAGGGCGTGAGCGTCAATTAAATGACTGAAGTCCTTCAAACTACCTAGATGTAGAGATTTTGAGAGCTGTCTTTTCTCCCAAATTACGCTCTTTTGCTAGTCTTTGCCTTACTTTGTAATCTCGGGCACACTTTTATCTGTTGCCTGTATTAAACACTTTGATATAACAAATGTTTGCAAAAAGAAAGTGTTTAGGTTTTGTTATAGGAAATACTATTAAGATTACAATTAGGTAATTTCATTGCGGATCGAGGATAGTTTAAACTTTAAAGCAAACAAAGCCTTTAGTATCAATTACGCACCGACTAACATCGTTCCAACATTAGGCGAAAGGGCAAACGAATAAAACTAAAACTAGATTCAATACAACACCGGACCGGCCTAAGGTGAAGCGAAAACACAGCCTTAACTATCGCTCACGGAGTAATCGGGGCTCATCTATCATTCGCAACCTGAAAGGGTTCCGACCCTTCGCGGACAATGCGAGAAGGAGTTCGCAAAACACCGCGTTGCGATGCATTGTGCTATCTATTGCTTCGGGAGAAATATTAATCTCAATCCGTCGTCATTGTTCGTGTAATATTTATAAGAGTGTTGTTATAGAGACCGACATGACGCCTTTCGTCTGGTTTTCGTCAAAATATTTCAAAATTCTTATTGTGTTTTACTTTACTTTACATGTTGCAATTCAAAGTTATTGTATACATAAATCAAAGTCCTTTAAGTAATTTTAACAACCGAATATTATTGAAAGCGTTAAAGAGTGTTATTTGTAAATGAGCCCTTGTTACAGAAATCGAACGAGTTCAGGCAGTGAAAACAATAATAAAGAAGAGTTGGAACAATGTTGAAGGAGCTTAAACTGCTACATTATAAAAATAACGCTTGGCAATAAAAAAGTGGTGAGATTCTTACCAATTCTTCTCGAGTGTTATGCGCCCGCAATTCGAGTGTAACTGTTTATCTAAATTCTATCAACACTTATAAGTTTACTTTACTTAATTATCTACCTGAATATACACAATATATACTGAATATTTCAGGCATCGTCGCACGCACCGCCGCTCAAATCAAAATTGGAAAACGCAAACTCAAATTTTAATATCGTAATACTCAAAATTAAAGTTAACAAAAAATATTTAAAAAAAACATATTTAAATCTTGTTTCGTTTGTTCATAGATTACACAAACACAGAAAGATTTAATCACTCACAACAAATATTTTTTAACATTAATACTGAAAATCCCAACACGCGGTTATTTGAATAATATTTATTACACGAAAAAACCAGAACGTACTGAATATTTTTAGAGCAGATAATTGTGTGTATACATCACGGTTAATTTCAACTCGTAATATGTCGATAGATTCCGAATCAGTCGCTAAGGTAGAAGAAAGGTACGACGTCGAAGGAAACGGGTGCCCGGTGTAGCAAACTGCCGACCAGGGAAATAAATTGTAAGTAATTTTATCACCGGCCTTTCCTTGAAAAACTTTGAGTGTAGGAGCGGAGGAAGGGCCCTTCTGCCGAAGCGGAATGAAAACGGAAGGTGAGAAGTATTGCTATGTTTACGAATACTACGTTTCTTTTACGTGCATAGAAAACGCGCTTTAATTGCAAAATGTATCGATCCCATCGCTTAAATAATTTCAAAGAACTTGTTTTCAAAGAACGCCCTGTTTCACGACATTGCATGCATAATTTAGATAAAGAAATTTGAACAGATCGTCTTTCGAAGCCTGACAAATTCGCTCATTACTCTCAATTTTTCCTAGTCAAGGTCCCATTAAGAGGCTAGTAGGAGCCATTCCTCGTATTAATCTCTGAATTAGTGTACCGAGTACTTGGTACACTCAACATACCAGTTTCCTGATTCCATTATTTCCATTTGTTAGACGGTTTATTACACAGACAGATTTTTGTTCAAGAATTTCGGCACTATCCTTACAAATTTCGTTTGAACAGCCAGTAACTACTAACTCACGTATATGTGAAGTTTCTTTTGGACCGTAACGACGTTATTTTCCTCTTGGCTCAACAAAATACTAAACTAAAACGAGACAAGCTATATTTCATTTATTATTTTACTCATACTTCATACCTTTAATACGAAATATTGAATGGACAAAGTCGTAATTTGTTTTTTCTTAGCTCGAAATCCATAAAAGTTTATTTATTAGACGAAAAAGTGGTTAGAAAATGCTTAGCATCTTAACTTATAGGCATTCATCTACATTTGCCTTTAGAGATATACCTATAAATATATACATATCTAAAAAGCTGAAGAGTTTGTTTGTATGTTTGTTTGAATGGGCTCATCTCAGGAACTGATTGGCTGGTTCGAATTAAAAAATATTGTTGTGTTGGTTAGAGCAATGATCGAGGAAGGTTTTAGGTTAAACATCGCCCTGTGACTAAAAGAACAGAAGATACAGCGGGAAACGTGATCAGAACGGGGGAAATTATTCATCTCTGGGGGTAACCGATGCGTACGCTGTGAAAATGATTCAAGATATCTAAAAAATATGCATGTGAAAGAATCTTTGAATTATCTAAAAAAAAGTCCACGATACTATTTGTCTATCTTTTAAGATTAACTTGCAAGAACGACGGAACGCGACCGATGCTGCGGGGTGCTTACATTTATAAAAATGCAGAAATAAATTTGGATGCCCAAAACAACAAACTGTTCTACGCGGACGAAGTCGCTGACTTGGAATAAAATTGATGGGGTAATAAGTTTTTACTAAAACACCACTGCTACTGCAACCCCACAAATATTTTGCAAAGAATAATTCACTGCAAACGTTTATATTCGGCCTGAAGCGAAATCCTCAAGAATGTTGTTTTTATCCCTTAACGCAGGGCATTCGCTGTGCAATCACGAAAATACGAGTTCTTTGTAAACCTCACGGAAAATATTATTCGTCGGCCGACGCGATGCGGACGAGGGATCCTTTGTCTCCCGGTCTAGAGATTTGTAACACGACGACGTTTACAAAATGCGATGTGATAATCATAACGGTACAAGGTGGATTTTTATAATAGTTTTCTTTAAGTGTGTCGAAAGCTACTACTCTGTGGCACCTGGAAAACACATGATAAATGACTCACCCGATAAAAAACCGTGACAGAGCAGCAACAACCATTTCACAACACACGAACGCATCTTGGACGTATTAACTGATAGTTCACACGAAGCGCTGCCTCAATGTGGTCGGTGTGAGGCCGGAATTGCACATGATTCGCAAAGCACCTGAGAAACCAATGGGAGGTACGATATTTAAGCGAGCCAAATCTATTATTATTTATATTAAGGAGTAAGAAATAAAGAGCGCAAGTAAATAAAACTATTAAAGTATTATCATGGCAATGCGCATCAATAGTAATCATATTTAGATAACGTCCGTTCGATACATCAGTAATTAGTAGCGTTGGCCCGAAAGCGGTTTAAACCGAAACGGAATTTTATTTAGTGCTACTGTCGCTTACGCTACTATTCCATACTACAATAGTTTTATTTTATTAAATATCTATGATAGAAAGAAGTCATTTCTAAATGTGTTATAATTTTGTATAAACTTAATTTGGCCTAATGTCGGCTTCGGTTTACGGCGCCGACTCGTAAGCCGAATTTGGGCCCCTCCCTAGTATTATGTATCACGAAATGTGATATCAATAGAAAGTACTTTTAACCTTTCGGTGCAGTTGCATATATCGGTCCAAGTCGGCAGTCGGCTGTCAATCGGTGCTCAAGACATGGAGTGGAATAAAATGTCGTTCGTGACGTGTGTCCTAGCTTTCCGCCTTATTTTCGGGCTATTCAGTGAATTCGACACGAGGCCCTTATACAACACAGTCCTAAAATATTATTGTATATTTTTTTATGTTGTAAATGTTGTTTTCAATTTCCCCAGTATGACATATAGCCTTGAGTTGCTAATTCTGCACGTTATCGACAAATCTAAAATGTTTTTTAACTTATGCATATCCCTTTATTTCAAAGAAAAATATTTTATAAAGTTCTACTCGAAAATGGTGTCAATAGATAAATCATTAAATTTGAACGAAGAGCGAAAGCACGCTTGGCGTTCCTTTGGCCTAATTGTATTGCTCATTTCTATCGAAGAGATATGGGAAGTGATAGCGTTGAATCACATTTTCGGACCCAATTTCGATATCTCAACTTGCATGAGTTGGCTCCAGCATGTAAACCAAGTTTTATCGCATACGCCGACTTCTATAATTTATGAATTATCCTATTTAAGTATGAAATGCTTAAGAACATATTTGAACATGCATTTAAAAAGTGATATAGCTGTTAATGTGAAAAGCTGTCACCTTAAAAAGTTCATCCAAGCTTATAAAAACCTATTAGATGCGACTAACGACGCAAATAAAGTTATCAAAATTAAGGTGAGTTAACTTTTATTGTTATAAACAAATATTATTTTTTAAATATGAAGTCACTCGATGTAGAAGAAGATTTAGAATTTATTTTAAAGTTTTAGATTAATAGAAAACATTTTAACGGTTTAAAAGGCGATATATATTAGTTAAACTTTGCAGCAGTCGTGGTCAAGTCGGGAAACGTCGGGCCGTAGGTTAAATAATTTTCAAATAAGTTGGGCCAGTAAGAAATTCCATCCGAACCAGTAGAAGTATTATTTTTTATATTTTAAATGCATTTACAAGCGATCTTATATTTTCAGTTGTTTTTCGATTTAGTGTTCGTCTTTGGCAGTGTCGTCACCGATATAAACTTAGTGTTTGCTGGAATAAACCTAAATGTGAGTAAATCGAGTTTGAACAGTTATAAACATTTATTCAACATTAGTAGTTCACATTGGGCCGAAAAAAGCGTCTAAAAAACTTTTGAAACTATTAATGATCGGACAAACGGCGTAACACGTTATGACTGTGAAGGTAGCACGAAGTTCATAAGGAGGTTCCCAGCATACTTGACCCCAATACAACGACAATATCATTGCGACATATTTATTAATTAAGGAAGTTAAAGGAAAGAAGCCAACGCCAACGAAGCCAAATAATAAGTATTGCTTAATAAATAATTTCAGGACTTATACCTGACTTTTCTACCGTTGGTCACAGCATTGACGACCATTCTTCTGACATTAGTGGGAGTGATCTTCTTGGACCTCAGCCGCACAGAATACGAAAAAATCAAAACGGCTCTAGCTATGGAGTTGATAAAATGCGAAGGTCAGTCGTTCATAATTTCAATTTAATACGCGATTAATTTATTATTTATGCATATAATAAAAATGTTACCGGTCGCTGTCTGTATCTACGCAATGGTTTCTAAATAATGATTTATTGGATTTTTTGTCTGTTAGTCTGTGCGTTTGTTTGTGAACGCTAATCGACATCACTTCTGATAAAGACACGTGAAAGTGTATATCATGTAGTGTGACAGTATCATGGTAAGCTCAAATTAACGTTTAAAAAAAGTTATGATTCTCTTAAGAATCACAATATCGAACTATCTGGGCGTAGAGCACCGAGAGCCGCTAGCGGTGCTACGTAACCGCTACGTGCGTAACGTTATCTGGAGGCGCACGGCATTAGGTTAAACTTTTAATTTTTATTTGTTAAATGTTCAGAATTTAAATATTGTTTACATTTTTTAGTTAAGTTAAGTTCTATTGCTTGTTCACTTTAGTATTTCTTGTAGATGCTGACTACCATAAGGAGATTATGGCGACGGTGGATTTTCTCGAGATTCGGCCGCCGTGCTACACCCTTTGGAGGATCTTCCCTTTGAACATTAACCTCATCTTTGGCTTCGTGAACTGTGCTATTGTCTATGCTATAATTATACTATCCTTCTTGTAATCTTCCATTAGGATGTATTTGGCATTTAGTTAAATATGTTTAAAGTTATTGTGGATGCCGGTTCAAGTCCTGCCCGAGTCGTAATTTTATCAATTTATAATTGATTTTTAATTTATATAGTGCCATTAGATCTGCAATAATGTGAAAAAAATATTAAAATTTTCAAATGTTAAGGCTGGCTTAATTAATAAAAAGTGTTTGCTTTTTATTAATTATGATATAGAGGGGCCACCAACACTCCGGATAAATAAAATAAACGGTCTAGGTCAAGAGTATCACTTTGGATTATAAACTGATATTAGATGGGCATATAAACAATATAGTTCATTAAAGTGTTAAAATGCTGGCCTTTATCCGGAACGTCCAACAGTTTAAGTCCATTTCGTCGTTGTACATAGAACTCAACAAAAAATATTTAATTCAGAAAAAAATGACTACATGAAAAATTTAATAAAGAAAACCTACCACATTTGCATCAAACATGCAGTCATTGAAACTTCGCAGAAATACAACACGGTTGATTTGCCTTCATAAGGCTATAATAATTAATAAACCCAATTGACTGCCCACCTCTTTGGGAGCAATTTGGACGTTGCGTGCCATCTTTTAAGTGCACGAAAATAATTACCATAATATTGAATTCATGATTTAATTATTAGGAAAATAGTTTGGAAAAATGGTAGTTACAAATAGTTTTATTAAGTACCTATTAGAAACTAATTTTTATAATAAAAATTGTAATTCAGCCGATATTATTTCTAGTGAGATCCTAAAATACAAAACTTGTATATGTTATTTGATATTTAAGTTGTAGTGTCAAAATTATTGTTCTCGTTCCTAAGATATTTCTTTTACTGTGTTGTAGATGTTGTATTTCCGTCTAGTTTGTATAAATAAGTGTAACCTTAGGTCTATCTAGTTTATCAGTAGTAAGGTTTTAAGTATATCGTTCTGTATGTGACGTTCTTAATGAGTAAATTTGTCTTGTAGATTATAATTATTAGTTAAGAAGATTAACTAAGAATAAGTTAAATACTGTCTGTAGTTTACACGAGTAGTACACATTTAAATTAAACACTTTAACGGTTTAAAACGCGATATATTGAAATAGGAATAAGTTAGTTTACGTGTTTTGCTTTCACTGTGTATTATGACTTATTCTTACTATAATTAGCATTAAAGTTGTTTTTTGTCCAGTATGAAATAGAAATAGGTGGCGCTTGGATTCTTATGAAGGATTATTCGTGCGTATAAACTCGATTCTATAGCGTGGCCGTTTTAATACTATATTTTCACACACTCGTGTGTTCACGTTTCGTGTCTAACTAAATGTTAAAACTCTCGCACGTATCACCAACTTTCGCATGTGTTTGAAAAATTCAATAAACATTTATTTATAACTTTTAATGTTTTATCTCTCCATCGGATTGTTTTATTAATACAATATAATTTATTCTTGCAATGTATCAAATTAAAGGTATTCGAACTTGACTAAAAATATTTTCTTAAAAAAATGAACGAATCCGCGGACTGATCGAGGTACCACTATAAAGTAACTAATAATGCGGGCGCAACTAATTATGGTTACTTCTTATATATTTCGATTAATTAAGTGGCTCAGACCTACATTTAGCGATGCACCCGGATTGTGGCGGCGTCCGTCCGGGCGAGCGCTCGCCCAGAGAGCATTGTTATGTAAATGCCATGCACTTTATCATCCACTCAGGAAATCAAGCATCTAATTCGCAACGCCACCAATAAGAACGGGTTGTGCCATTTGCTCCATCCATTGTTAAATGAGTGACATGAAATTATAATCAAAATGATTTCGTCATTGTTAATTCAAGTAGATAAAGAGAATTCAAGTAGACAATAGACGCTAAAGCTACGGTCGGACAGGGCTAATGACGAAGCAGTATTCAGACTCGTAATCGACTAAAATATGAGAACGTGATTTAGGAAGATGCTAACGTACGTATATTTTGTGCCAAATAACATTAAACTCAGCATTTACAAATATACCATTTGCGCGAGTCACCCCGTCTAGTAAGGAGTAGTCTGTGACACAGATACCTATCCAATATGCCGGTAAGACGATACTGTAAAAGCCTCGCAAACAAGCGTGAAATAATTCCTATTACGCCTACGGCCGCATGACGGAACGCCTGTGACGAACGTGTCGTGTGATGAAGCATTAATCCAATGTAATCGTGTCTGCTGCCGTGGAACATTCACATTCAACGTTGTGGGCTTGATGAATATTTTTGATATTCATATAAGTTTACACATACAAATATGAGATTTTAATTTTCTTAGTTGACACCAAAAGCGTCCGCACCCTAATTTAAGTAAACCGAATTGTGCTTCATAAACGATAATTAGTAATTTAGTTTAGTAATTGCATTGGTTGGTTGTTTTTTTTACTACCTACCTGACAATAATCAAAAGGAACTTAAGCCAAAATCTGAGAGAAGAAATCCGTAATCAAAGATAAGCCCCGCTCCGTTGACAAGTTCTTCATAACGGTGAATAAAAAGAAGGATTATTTAAATGAAAGAACGAAATACTGTTATTGCGAATATGATTCATATTTAATGTTACCGCGGGCTTTGAGATCTTTTACTTACACACGTTGGAAAACTAATTTAGCGCTTGGAGATATTAGTGATTAAACGGTGGGTGTTATGTGTCAATCTCGTTAGCGCTTAGATGGAAACTAAAATTGGACCTGGCCGGAAGTCAAACAATTAATAACAGCTTTCAACAGCTTAACACAATATCTGGGGCGCATTTATGAAGATTTAGCTTAGCGCAGTGACAAATTGTCTCGCGACGGCGCTGCAAGCTTTTAATTAAACTATGCAACTTTCTCAGGATTACTTTCCAAGATCTTGATAAAACTCGTAACTTGAAAATTTAGAGATCATATCCCATTAAATATCTCCAATATAATATAAATTTAAGCCCACTTTATTGCGAGGTTGTAAAAACAATGATACAAAGTTGATAAGTAGACTTGAGTTCATTAGGATATCGGAGGATTATATATATTATTATTATAACGTAGTCGACGAAGCTTGCGGCTGCAATTAAGAGGATTATATTGCAGAATTGAATTATGAAGCTCCGTGGGCTCGTAAATAATTGTTGTAACAATTAGACCTCGCTTTTAGCAAAACGGCACCAAATTTTATAATCAGCATTCATATGATGCGACAAGGATATAATCTATGATTTGTAATTCTTTAATATTAATCTAATGTTTCCCGAGTTTATTGGCTTGACTTTGTAAGGGGCATCTCGTAATTTCTAGTTATAATAAAACAATGCTTCGAGTATCATCAGGAAATCTCCTCGATATAAAAAGATTCCAAATTCAGATGTTTAAAGTATTCGAAATAAAACCTTTCCAACTCTAAGAAGCCTTCTAAGAAGTGCTTTAAACCGAAGGCAAAGTAATCAAAGTTTAAAGCAGTGTGAAATAAAAACAAAGTGAAGTTAGACCAGTGTGTGCTCGCACCACTGTTAACCAATATTGATGCACGGAGAACGTTCGGCTTGAGAGTTCGTGACAAATTATTTCATCTAGACTCTAGAACGTTCTACGCTTCACGACGATTACTTTTACATTTCTCGTTTGTTATTTCTCAACAACCGCGTCTGCACGTTTAAAAATAGAATATATTAAAAAGTGAAGGAAGGAATTCATAAGTTTTTGCTCTCATAATAAAAACCCTCAAAATATTACTATTAACTAATATACTACAATTGAATAATAAGGAAACAACAAGAATCAACCGCTTCGTACGGAACAGTGTTTAATTCGAACCTCTTTGTACCCGCGACGATATGAAATTCCGTCGTAGTATATTAATTTTCGTCAATTTTTAAAGAAATAATGTCGCGAATGTTACCTCGGCGTGTGCCATGATATTAAATACCCGAGCTACGTTACAAAAGTGGCGTTATCTACTTGTTGCGCGACCCATATCGCCCAACCCGCTTTGACTCGGAACATTGGGCTAACATTAGCTTCATTACGTCGCCACTGTTTACACGAGGCTCCACAGTAGGTGCTTATAGGTGCTATTGGCTCGGCCGTAATTGATTTTAACTTAACCGAGGACAAAGGGCACTCTCGTCCCGTTCACTTGGCTGAGGCTTGAAAAAATATCCGTAGATCGTTACATGTTTCTTTTATTGAAATAGTACTCGTAGTTTAGTGGTTAATCGCACTCTTTTACTGGACATCGTATCATCTTATCCCATTAAAAAAAAAAACTAAAATATATATTGCCTTAATAAACGTAAAATTTCGCTTCGACTAAACTTTTATTCCTAACAAATAAATGTATCGCTTTTTCCCGGTACCCGATAGCAGGCCATTTTGCGTATATGACAACGTTCGGGAACTACTTTCACAATTGAGCCCCAAAAGAAATCTTCTCTATTTAATTATTCCGTAATATGTTATTCTTAAGTAAAATTGAATAATAATTAAATTTGTTAAAATCGTAATAGATTGTGTTTTAAGCATATTGTCTTTCAATAAAAGAACTAATGCGGTATGCTTTCGTATCAGTTCCTAATCTGCCTTAATCCTTATCACAGGGATAGCAAAGTCGCGATAAAAACTACTATTCATATTTTCGATGCCATGCAACGGCCAGTCACCCATTGTACTTTTCATTACGAACAGCCATATAAACGAAAACAGGGGCTCATTATCCGCAAGTGTGAAGACTGCGACCTCGTTCCTAGTAATCAAAAGGACTGATTAGGGGCCTTTGTGGGCCTCGCAATCTAGACTTGTATTTTCATCTAACTTTTAATACCATATCAATCAATGTTTGGAGTGGGGTCGTTATCTTATCAGGGAATTAAAGCTTTATTGTTTTTCGTGACACTGTGAAAGAGTTTGGCGTATTTCTTTTAGTAATAAACTCAATAACACGACATGCGTGAAATCCCGTTTCCCCTCGTGGGGCATGGGGCGAACA